TTTTTGAAAAAAATATTGATACCTTTTTAACCATGTAAACTTAAATTTATGTAATTTTCTTAAGGGGGGGGGCACAATGTTGCCAGGGGGGGGGCGGCACAAAATCAGGCAATCCCTCTTAATACTGTGCTGTAAGCTTCAAGGGATGAAAATTATAGATGGAAACGTTTCTTAAAAAATATCTATATTTTCATAGGATTGATTCATATTGTGTAATAAATTGTGATATCAAATATATATTTACACTGAAGGCAGTATTGATTAAAGCTTTTTTTTAGTTGAGGGCAAAAGTGACATTTTAAATTATTTTTTCTTTACGATGAAATTATACTAAAATGGAAAACATGCGCAATTTTAAGTGACCCTCCAATTATAGAATGGCATGTCCGATGTACCTTTGAAACCTTCATTTCTCCATCGTTTCTAAAGCAAGAAATGCGCGAGTCACTTTTGTAGGGAAATCACAAACAAAAATATAAAGTTTTCAAAATGGGAACATGGATATTTAATGCAATACTTGGTCAGACAAAGCTTTGAAGGGTATTGTTGTGAATCAGAATATAATTGATTTCTTTTCTTAATCTTTTAGTTTGGGTGAGTGCAATGCAATACAATGTAGAATGTAGATTGCCTGAGGAAGATGTAATATTAAAAGAACCCCCCATGAGTCCCCCCTCAAAGGGGGTACGCGTAGGGGGGGGGGCGGGGGGGGGCTCGGCCCCCTCAAACGCGCCTGTTGGCGTGGGGTGCAGCAAATTAAAGACAAATTTTGAAGAAAGTTTTATAAATAAAGCTAAAAAATGTCGACTTGATCAAGATTTACAATTCTAATCTTTTCTCATAGAAAAAAAAGTTACTATTACGATTTGTGACCTTGTAGCTCCTGGTTTAAATTTTAAGCACAAGAATAAAGAATTTAATAAAGAATTATTTGGTTACAATTTAGATTTTCAAAATCTTTTGTTCAACTTAATATCTAAGAGTTTAGATTAAAAATATATGAATTTTTATTCCGATGTGGAAGGAATTGAGTTTTTGTAACATACTCAAATTTTTAACAACTATATCTTTGCAACCTATTGGAGTAAACCTTTGATATTTTAAACTTAGATTATTTAATCTAACATATTTTATTGTTTAAAATCTTCTTCATTGGTTTGCCATGATATATGGATAAGAATATCAGAGTTTGTATATAATGATCTATAGTTCTTTTCAGATCAGAATTGAAAAAAAAGGAATTGAATTACAAGTTTTCAATTGTTTTGAAGATGTTAATGCACAAAGTCAGATATTGGGAGTAGACACAAGTTTACAATATTTTGATACCAATCTAGATAATTAAGAATAGGACTAGTAAAACAGTTGTAATAGATATCTTTAAATCAGACTTCAAAAAAATTAATAATAAAAATTAAATAAAGTTTTTTATTATTTAGAAGATGCTGATTGGGTGAGAGAAGTTAAAGATCAATTAGATTACAGAGAAAAGGTAAATTATATAAATATCATATTTTGATTTTACCACCTAATTTCAATAATTATAGCAAAACATTTCAATTTAAAGATTTGAGGAATAATACTGGAGATCTGCGCTATCAGAGCCCACGATTTAAAAACTTCGGCCGGAGTCGTAATTCCTTAAACCCGACTTTAAGACCCAATCTTAGACTCAACTCTAACGACAGCTTGTGAGAAGTTATTAACAGCTGCAAGTTCTTCGGCTCGACTTAAGGAGTTAGGCCCAATGAAAATAAAACCGACCTTGGTTGGGTTTAGTGGAAAATAAGGCTCAATGTTGAGTGTTGTTCTCATAAAAACCCGAAATGCGTCAATTCCTACCATGAAAATCCGCCAAATAAAATATCAAACCGGTTTTTTTTATCCTTACTCTGTGGAAAATAAGATGCAGCTTGAATCCGAAAGCTCAAGCCGTAAATAAGGCCCAACGACAGCTTACACCCGAGCCGTAATTTCCCGAGTTTTTTAAATCATGGGCCCTGAGCGCGATTTGATGTTGTGTAAAATAATTTATACATTTGTTGAAACAAATTGATTTTAAAACGTATAAAAATATATCAAAATTAATTCAATTATTTTTACTATTTTCAGAGAGTTACTTCTTTTTAAGTCAAGAGAAGGTTATTCCATATCTTTAGAAGAGCATGTTCTGGCAAATAATGTAATGAGCTCATATTGAGAATATTAAATTGAAAGTTACATTCTTAGGGGCCCGCAATAAGGATGTATAGTCCAAAAGTTGAAAGCACTTCGAATGTACTTTAAACTTTAACTTGAATAATTTTTAGCTAATGACAAATAATAAACATTAAAACTGGTTTTGATTTAAACAATAAATCTGTCAGTTAATTATGGATCACATCCTCTAACGAAGAAATAAAAAAAACCATATTTTTTTATTGAAATTAAAGAAACTTTGTTACATTTAGGGAGGATATTCAAAGTATATTACATATTTCCATCCAGCAACTCAGGAGGAACAGGTAATCAAATATTTCATTAAAATCTTCATTTACAGAGATACAAAAAATTTCAAATCTGATTAGTTATGCACAGTGGTCTACTCAGCCTTGACCATTTTGCATCGATTTTGGAGACTTGAAAAAATTTAAAAATACCCCAAGAACTTACGGAATTTCGACGCTGTTGATCAAATAAATATTGTAATAAACTTAAACAATTTTGTTTGCAGTGTAATGAGCAATTCAGCAAAAAAATTATGTTTTTTTTGTATTCAATATCGAGTCGTTAATTATTTTATCCAGGAGAAAATTGAGGTTACTCTATACATAGGGACAGAGACTCATAAACAATATACTGGTAACATTTTATTTTATCGCCTTTTCACTAACAGTACCGACCGGCCCTTCATTTCTCCAACAGTGGGATGTTAAGTTACTTAACCCCCCCCCCCCATGGGGCAATTAAGTAAGAAACAATTCGCGCACTTCCATCTCAAAAGACAATTGTAATTTTTCATGGAAAATCATTTACAACTACTTTACAAAGAAGTCAAGGGAATTTTACTTTTCCCCGGTTCCTCAGACCAATATTGCTTACAAAACATCCAGAGCCCAGCAAGGGATGTGTTGTAGGTGAAATAAGTCAAGGGAACCCCGTGGTAAAATTCTCTGGAAAGGAGTTGTGAATGTTTTTACCACATTTTCTTCAACTTTACTGACCTATGATTCTCCCAATGGTTGACGATCCTCTGCTGGGGGAATCATAGGTTGGCAATGTTGGTCAGAAGGCGGTAAAAATGTTGTGCAGGGTTTGCAGGCAAAACTGGTCCTAAATAAGAAGCTTAGCATCAGATTCGATAATTTGTCGATCAGAACTCCCTATGGTCCAGAGTTTTTATATTAAAATCGTTGAGAATTTGGCCAATTCCTCTTTATATCTAAAATGTGCTTTAAAAAGACTACGAAAAGTAAAAGTGAGTTAGGTAAAATCTAAAGGACACTTTAAATTCAACGGAGTCCTGAAAACTGATGCAAATTTTCAGAGAAGTCTGGATCTACGTGAACTCTGGCCCTTAACGATCATCGGTCATAAACGATACAAATGTGTTCGTTCATTTCTAATATAAAGATTAAAAAAGATAACTTTAATTCCTTCTTATTTTGGTGTTGACAAAATATCTAATATTCGATCATTATTATTTAGATAATGGTAATTATCTCAGTATACCGGTGTTGTTCAGTTATATAAGATTTTTTTACTTCATACATTAATTATATTTCTAGTAATTATTTACACATTATTTAATTAACCATTGTCTAGATAATACATATACATTTTTTCTTTTATCAAGAACTCAACAGCTTTCTTTGAAGGGAGAGACCGGCTATTTAAAGTAGTTAAACTGAGTATGCAGTGCTGTGGACAAATTCTTTAGGATTCATTTGAGACATATAAACGTTTCCACGATGTATAATTACTGAGTTTGAGTGCATAGTCGACGTTCAAAATCATGAATTTGGGTGGTAACGTTTTTAGAATCGGGTTTTTTAAATTATTAAATAACGACGACGAAAAATAAAGTAAAAATTATGCAGTAAACTAATTAGATGGCTAGGAACATATTTCTCAAAAGAAATCTCTCATTATATTGAATTTCTTATTTTCTATGAATTTATTCGCAGATTTCTACAAATTCTTCAAATGTCGTCTTTTTTAATAAAAGTTGCAGAAAATCTGAAGAAAATCTTTGTGAATAATTAAGAGATTATAGAAACTAATAATTAAATAAGATTACTTGTTTTCGATGCTAAAATTAACTTTTATTTTCTCAACCTGTTCCTAAACAACTAATTATACTTAAGAGTTTAGTGTGCATTTTTTGTCATCGTTATTTAATTATTTAAAAAAAAAACAATTCTGAAAACGTATCTACCCAGACGTACAATTTTGAACGTCGACTTTGCGCTCAAACTCAGGATTTACGGATCTTTAAAAAGTTTTATATGTCTCAAATGAATCCTAAAGAATTTGTCCACAACACTGCAACTCAGTTCAACTACGTTACATAACCGGTCTGTTCCTTTAAAGGAATTGAGTCTTTGCACACACATTCAAATCTTCTAATTCCTATTTTTTTTCAACCTGATGGTGTAAACCTTTGATATTTCAAACTTATGTTATTTGATTTATTAAAATTCCTAGTTTGAAATATCTAAGGACTACAACTTTGAGTTGCAAAGATAAATAAGTTTGTTTTTAATCATTGCGAAGAAACAATCTCAAGAACTGACGAGGGTCAACCCAGACCGAAATATATTTTCAATAATTGTGGAACTAACATATACTTTTTTACTCTACAGAGGTTTGGTCCATCACCATCACCGAATTTTAAAGGGATTATAAAAAATCAAAGTTTGTGGCAAGTCTTAAATCCTTTATTACAGCAAGAATATGTTTCAAAATTTAACACTCTCCACTTTTTAGGCCATTATCTTATATCTATAAAGTAGCAATCTCTGTTTTTAGGCCATTATCTTATATCTATAAAGTAGCAATCTCTGTTTTTAGGCCATTATCTTATATCTATAAAGTAGCAATCTCTGTTTTTAGGCCATTACCTTATATCTATAAAGTAGCAATCTCTGTTTTTAGGCCATTATCTTAAATATATAAAGTAGCAATCTCTGTTTGAGTGTATGTATGTCTGATAATGACTCAGGAACCCATTGGCCGATTTGCCTTAAACTTTGATTGTGGAAGAACCGTAGGAATGTCGTAGACCTTTGATATTTCAAACTGAAAATCCTGCTAGATCAAGTAGTTAATGTTTGAAATATGAAAAGGTTGCAAAAATATTCTGATAAGATATTCAAGTTTAAGTAATCAGTTCCTTTCAATATTAATCTTCAGGCGGAGAACCGATATCAACCATAGCATCAACTATTCTGGTTTCCAAGGGTAGAAGCGGAGAAAATAAGGTAGAAAACCCCATCTTTTTTATTCATTAGGTGTCCAGCGTTGCCCGTGGTATTTTAAAATGGTCTTCTTGGCAGAAAATGAACCCAATTATGTCTATATCCCCTTGGTTCTATATATCCTTGGTTCTATATATCCTTATTTAGGAGTATCTGTACAACCTGGCCTCGAGTATGCGTGAATTAGCTCCGCATGTACAAGATGATCATCTGTTCAGCCTCGAGCAGGAGGTCAAGAGACTAGAACAGGAACTGCTGAGCTCAAAAGATTAGAACAGGAGCCAACAGATAAAACAGGAACATAAGAACAATTATTTAAACATTTAAAAAATGTTTGCATGCTTTCAGCTTTTACATTGACATATTTATAATTATGATTTTGTTTATATGACTCAAACTATATTTTCATGTTAGTAGTTCGTACCACACATAAGTTTACTTGAACGGAATAACAGCTAGTTTTTCATACTTAAAAGCTTTATATACTTTTAAGTAATGGTAATGATCATTGCAATGCCAATTTTTTAATATAGGGTAACTTAATATAACACCTTCAGACCCTCTAAGTTATAATTTTTGACATTTGATTATTACAGATTGTAAAAAATATAATTATCAAAGCTCTAGATCTCTAATTCTTTTTTCCTTTTTTTGGTGTTGGTTTAATTGTTTTTCCTCATTAGTATTAATAATTTTTTGTGTTTATAAAGAAAAATATGTAATAATGAAATGATGTGATTTATTATTAATGTAAGTTATTCTCTTGATTGAAAAATATAAATACTAGTTAATCTTCTCTTTAGTTTTGTATTTTGGTTTTTTTTTGCAATGTTTTTTAAATCTTATCTTTAATAATAATAGCTAGCCAAATTCACACAAAAACATTTTCGAAAACTTCCCTTAATATCAACTTTTAAAATTCTTTTATCTTTGCAACCTGGCGGTGTAAGCCTTATAATTAAAACTTTGACCACTGAATCTAGTAAAATTCATATTTTCATATATTTAAATGTTTATGACGCAAAGCGGCAGAGATACAAGGTTTAGAAAATTTCAAGCGAGTGATTTTGTGTTTTTACAACAAAATAATTACGTATAAATAAGCACGAAAAGGCCTATATTAAATCTTTTAAAATTTTTTATTAACTTGATCTTTTCTCTACTATACGATCAGATCGTCCACGTGTTAAACTAGCTTAATCTTTTCTCTACTACTATAAGATCGTCCATGTGTTAAACTAACTTAATCTTTGCTCTACTACGATCAGATCGTTCATGTATTAAACTAACTTAATCTTTTCTCTACTACTATAAAATCGTCCATGTGTTAAACTAACTTAATCTTTTCTCTACTATGATCAGATCGTCCATGTGTTAAACTAACTTAATCTTTTCTCTACTACTATAAGATCGTCCATGTGTTAAACTAACTTAATCTGTTCTCTTCTACGGTCAGATCGTCCATGTGTTAAACATTTTAAAGAATGAACGTTAAACAATTAACGGAGTGTTCGTGACAATGAAAAGGAGTTTAGAATAAATTAAAAGTTCCATCAATCGGTCGAATTTTTACTGAAACCAGTTCATAGCAACTGTGATGAGGATTCATCCTATATAAGCATCTTTATTTTTCATGAACGCTCATTTTAAACCAATATGTATACTGTATATTTTTACCTGACTTGATGATATCATATCTTAATTTACATTTTAGTTTATTGAATATTCTAGTATTTACACAAAACATTTAAATCTTTAAATTTAAAACTACTTGACAAAAAATGAAACAAGCTTATCCATGAGAAAGGCCTGCATTTCCAGAGTGGATTTCAGAATATCCACAAGCTTGTTATTTTGATCAACTACTTCAGAATATTTTGTAGCTGGAGTAGTAGATGAGGTACTGGAATAAGTTTTTTCTTCTGTATTGTACAATGGTTGGCTTGTACTGTATGTCTGGGCAGTTATGTACTGTGGTGTACTAGTATTGTACTCAATTATATCCTGGTACAATATATCTCTTGTATTCAGATCTGAGAGAAGGAACGGTTTTCTATCCTTATCTTCTGTAAAGATCAAGTTGCCAGAAAGATTATCTTCAAGCATATCAATACCATCACCATCTTCAATAATATCATAATATTCTTCATAATAAACTGACTCAGAGTTATCTTGCGTATGTTTCAGGAATTTTTCATATTCCACTCTTGTTTCCTCTTCAGTAGGTTCTTTAGTATCCTTCAGCTTTGATTTACTGGCTAACCACTCCAACCAATCACCATTCACGAGTGGTTTAATGTCTAGTAAACTGATAGGACTTGGTGATGTTTCTTCAACATCACTGTTTGGAGCCCAATCAAAGTTATCAAAACTTTCTTGATTTAAATCATGACTATTATCTGTATTTCCTTCGGTTTCTTGTGAAACCTCATCATTTTCTTGCCATTGGAAATCCTGGTAGTTTGAAAAATGATAATGGGACGGATAAACTATTGTGGTTTTAGAACTGTTCTCTGCACCCTGCTCCACATTCTTCCTAATTGGTTCCTGTAGTTCCTGTGGGGTAGGTTTAGGTTGAAATATTACAGGCTGGGAGATTATATTGTAGTTTCCGGTTCCTAACAGCACACTATTAGCAGCTGGTCGAGTTTTAGAGGGTTCATCAGAGATTTTCAGTCTTGTCAATAGGATTTGGGGGGCCATAGTGATTATCTTAGGAATTGTTGTTGTGGAAGTGGTTGTTGTTTTCATTGCTGTTGTTGTTGTTGTTGTTGTTGTTGTTGTTGTAGTTGTGGTAGAAGCAGTAGTAGTTGTTGATGTTGTTGTGGTGGTGGTTGTTGTTGTAGTTGTGGTAGTTGATGTTGTTGTTGTTGTTGTTGTTGTTGTCGTTGTTGTTGTTGTTGTTGTTGTCGGTGCCCTAGTACTAACCTTTTTCTTCTTTACTAAAACTTTAGATTTTGTTGTTGTATTAGATGATGTTGTTGGAGCTTGCTCGGTTGTTACAGCAGTTGTTGAAGCTGTTGTTGATGTTTCCTTGTTGTACTGAAACCTGCCTAATATTATATTCTTGAGAAGGTTTTGATTTGCCAGGAATGATTCTGGACTAAACTTGAAGGAGTTGAATAGAGAGAGAAGTGGTGACGGAGTAGTTGAACCTTCACCAGTCCAGAATTGGAAATTGAGACTTGTTGTTGTTCTTGGGATCGTGGTCGTCGTTGTTATTATTGTGGTTGTGGTTGTTGTTGTAGTTGTAGTAGTTGATGTTGTTTTTGTAGTAGTAGTGGTAGTAGTTGATGTCGTTGAAGTAGTGGTTATTCTTGCTGGTGGTGATCTCGTTGAGTACGAATCTCTTGAATTTGAGTTGACCAGCTGAGCTGTAAACTGATTGACCTGGTTGGAGCTGACCTTAATTCTATTAAAGATTGCCTCTAGAGCTTGCATCTCCTGATACCTGGACCAAGGAGATTTAATCTCCTCCTTGTACGGATTATTTCTCTCATCCTCCTCCAGCTTAAAGTCTAGGGAATTAAACGTATCCGGGTTCCCTTCATGAACTTGGTATCGGACTGTTTTCCCATTATTCGTCTTCTCTATAGGATAGTAGGTACTAGATCTTAGAGTTAGGGTATCAATATAGTCCTCAGTATCTTTACTACTGTAACTACTAAAAGCAAAATTTCCTTCTGGGATCTGACCCATCGAATCATATTTCTCTTTGCTGGGGGTTGGGATTTGGCTGGGTTGTTTAGGCTCATTCTTGGCATATCTTGTACCTTGATACTGCTTGTTCACCGATCCCCTTGGAACACTGGATTCTGTATCAAAATCTTCATCCCTCACTATATTGTATCCCACTGTATCTGTATTCTGAGATCCGTACTGTGTATCATAAGCATGTACAATATAAGCACTGGTCGGTACAACATCCTCCAAGGGTATAGGGGTCCTGTACATTCATTTTCAGATAATGTACATACATAACATACTTTTCAAATATCAAAATTAAAGGGATTGGTTTGCGAAAATAGATTTCTTTTATTCCAAATTCAAGGATTTAATGGACTTTTGCGCTCTAAGTAACTAAGATTTGGTTTACAAAATCATCTGAAGAAAAAAGATTCGTTTAAATTCGATTAAGATTGAGCAAGTATACCCTCTTTTATTTTTCTCTCTAACTCCCTTTATTGGTTTTGTGTCTAAAAACAACGTGAAGTAATTAGCAACCTCACAATAAATAATCCAGATGGGAAATTAAAGATGTTTTCTATATTTCTCTAGTTCACCACCATTTTATAATTAATTATTACAGACATAATGAGGGTATATTAAAACAGATGGTAGAAATAATTATTAGTTATTACAAATCTGAAAAATTCCTTTTAGAAGAAGTTGCGCGTGGAAACCACGTGACCAACTCCAAATCCTCTGAAAAATCCACGAAAAATAACATTAATTTACAACTATTATGTCTCAAGGTAGGTAATAATTTTAGTTTTTGATATTTAATTATGAGAATCTGAACCTACCCTGTTCTTTTTCTTGTCTTGTTTCCCAGGCATCATGTCCTGTTCCCCATTTTATCAACCCCCCTCCTCCTCCATCCCCTGCTCCTCCCCTTCCGCCTCCTCCTCCTCCCCCTCCTCCTCCTTCTTCCCCTCCCCCTCCTTTCTCTGATTTGACCCGAAGATTGTGTTGATTTTGTTGATTGTGTTTATTTTGCGGATGATGTAGCCAAGTTTGGGGACTTGTTAACTTTGGAATATGATCATTCTCTGAACCTGAACTTGAACCTGAACCTGAACCTGAAGAATCTTCCTCTAAACCTGAGCCTGGCCACCAGGTTACTAAATATAAGTAAATATAATGATAATGGCAATAATGATCATAATAATAATAATGATAATTATAATAATAATGATAATAAAAATGATGATAATAATAATAATAATGATTATAATAATAATAATAATAATGATAATAATGATGAAAATACCTACCTAATTTATTATTTTTAAATATTTTCCTCGGACCGAAGTATGACTGATTATCTGTAACTCTGAATAAAATTTGATTAAAAAGTATAAAACGTAGAAAATTTGGTTTATTTAATGTGTGGTTGCATTCGAAAGAGTTTATGAGGATCCCTGGGAAGAGAAATCTGCCAAAAATTCCGCCGCGCGCAACCAATTATTCATAAATAATGTGTTCTTTTGTGAAAAAGGAAAAAGTAGCAGGAAGAGGTTTTTTAATTTTAAACTTGCAAAATTTTATTGGTTTTGCAAAGCTCTATTTGAAGGCCTAACCGCATGTGAATAAATGAACTTTAGACCATTTAACATATATTACCACCTTTTTATAATTCATTGTTCATTTGAATGTAAATGAAAATCTGCGAATCCTGAGCACTGGACAGTAATAAAATGGCGGGTGGCGACACAGTGTTGATTGATTGATTATAGAGTACACTTAAAATACCCACGCTCTTTCATTGAATCCATCAAACATATGTTGAATATTCTTGAATATATATTGACAAGGGGTGTATTTAGTTGTTCTATTTAGAACAGATTTGATTAAACAATAAGCTATTGTGATCTAACTTAATTCAAGGGTTTAAACTAAAATCAATATAATTTTCTATTCAAGATTCAAGTTTACGAAATTGCATGACTATAAAAGGATAAGGTCAGTATGTG